TTTTTTTTTCCCTCCGTCCTTTCCCGTCTCTTCCGGCCCGCTTCTCTTGCCCTTGTTCCTGCCTCGCTCCTTGCCGGTTGCCTTTGCGTCTTTCCCTCGGTCCTTCTTCTCCCCCCGGTTGCGTCCCCCCCCCCGGGCCCCCCCCTCCGCCCCGCCGCGCCTTGTGGGCCGTTGTCCCTCCCGGTGCCTCCCTGGTTCCGCCGCCCGGCCCCCCTGCCCGTGCGCCCCCGGCCTCTGCCCCCTTTGGCCCTCCTTCCCGCCCTGCCGCCGCCGCGGTTCCCCCCTTGGTCTCTTCTCCCCCTCCTGCCCCCTCCCCCCTTGCGCTCCGCCCGTGCGGGTTCCCTCGGTCCTTCTCCGTTTCCCCTGCCCGCTCCTCTCGTCCCGCTTGCTTCTCCTTGTCCCTCCCCTCCTTGTCTCGGTCTGGTTGCCCCCCCTCCGGGCCCTCCGGGCGCCCCCTCCCCTTCGGGCCTCCCCTCTTCCCTCTCTCCTCCTCTTGTTTGCGGCGCTTTCGCCCTTCGGCTTTGTGGTTCCGTTCTCTTCCGCCTTTCCTCTTCGCCTTCGCTTCCTGGTGTCCTTCTCCTTCTCTCTTCGCCGTTCCTCTTCCCTTCGCCTCCCGGTGCCTTCCCGGTCTTTCCCGGCCCCGTTCCCTGGCTCCTCCTCTCCTTCCGGCTCCCTTCGCCCCTTTCCCCCCCCTTCCCCCTGCCCCCTTTGCCCCCTTCCTTTGCTTTCCTCCTTTGGCGGTCCTTTTTTCTCCCCCCTGTTCCTCCTTCCCTCCCTTCGTTGGTCCCCTCCGCTCCTCTCCTCCGCGCGCTCCCTGCTGCTTGTCCCCCCCGGCCCTTGCCGGTCGTTCTCCCTTCCCTTTGTTGTGTGCTTTGCCTCCTCTCTTTGTCCCCCCTCTCTCCCGTCGTTCCTCTGGTTGGCTTTCTTCCTTCTCTTTTTTTTCCTTTTTTCCTGGTCTTCCTCCCCTCCTTGGTCCCTCCCTCTCTCGCCTTCTTTTGTCTTCTCCCTTTGCTCTTTCCTTCGCCCCTCGTGCCCCCCCCCGCTCCTCGCCCCTGTCGTGCCTCTCCTCCCTTGCTGCCTTTGCCTGTCCCCTTTTTCCCTTTGCGCCCCTCCCGCCCCTCTCCCTCCTGCCCTCTTTCTCTTCCTTCCTTTCTTGCTCCTGCCTCCTTTTTTTTCCCCTGCCTTCCGCCCTTGTCCGGCCCCTGTCGCGCCTCTCCTCCCTTCCTCCCTTTGCCTCTCCCGCCTTTTTCTCTTGTCGCCCCTCCGCCCCTCTCCCTCCTCCCTTCTTTCTCTTCTTTCCTTTCTTGCTCCTGCCTCCTTTTTTTTTGCCTCCCGCCTTGTGGCCCCCTCCTTCTCCTTCCGCCCTGCCTCTCTCTCCTTTTTTGTTGTCGCTCCTCCCTTCTTCTTTCTCTCCTTTCCTCCGCGTCCCCTCGCGTCCTCCTTCTGCCCCCTTTGCTTGGGCTGCGGTTCGCCCCTCCGCCCTTTTTTTCTTGCCCTCCCTGCGTCCGTTCCCGGTGCCCTCCCGGCCCTTCTTCCCCTTTTCCCGGCCTTCGTCCCGGTGTGTGGGTCTTTTCGGCCCTTTTCGTGTCCCCTTTCCCTCTTCTCCCTCTTTTCCTCCCTCTGCGCCCTTCCTTTGCTTCCCCTCTGTGCCCGGCCCTTTTTTCTCCCCTTCTGGCCTCACTCTCTTTGGGGTCCTCTCTCCGGGCTCTTCTTCGTCTCGTCGCTTTCTCCGCATCCTGCCTTGTGTCGCCCTCCCCTCGTCCCTCTCGCGCGTGGTCCCCCTCCCCCTTGCCCCCCTTCCTCCTTGTTCCTCTCCTCCCCTCCCGCACCTGCACCCCCGCCTTCTCCCCTCGCCCCTTCGGCCGCCCGCGCGTTTCTGCTGTCTTGTCCCCTTCCCGGGCCGCTTCTATCTTCCTCGTTTTTGTCCCCCCGCTCTCCCCCCTCCCCCGGCCCCTTCTGCTGTGCCTCCGTCTCCCCCGCCTGGTGCAATCCCGCTGCCCCCCCGCCGTCGTTTTTTCTCCACCGCGCGTACCCCCCTTCCCCCACCTTCGGTTCGCCCTCCCTTCCCTCCTCGCTGTCCTTCTCCTTCCCTCCTCGCGCCTCTCCTTCCCTCCTCGCTGCCCTCTCGCTTCCTCTGCTGCCTATGCTCTCCTTCCCTCCTCTCCTCTCTGCCCTCCTTTTCCGCCTGACTCACTCCTTCGCCGCCTCTTCTGCCCTCCCCTTTCCGCCTCGCTGCCGCTCTCCTTCCCGCCTCGCTGCCCTCTCCTTCCCCATCCTCCCTGCCTCCTCCCTCCTGCCTGCCCCCTCCTGTTGTTTCCTCCGGCCTCCCCCCTGCCTTTTTTTTTTTCCGCGGCGCGCGGCGTTTTCCTCCCCGCCGTCGTTTTTTGGCTCTGTCTGCCCGCCTGCCTGGTGGCTCCCGCTGCCCGCCTCCCTCTTGCGCTCCCCCCCCCCCTGGTCCCTCTCTTCCCCCCTTCTCCCCCTCTCTCCTTTTCTGCCCGCCCCGACGCCGATCGCGTCACTTCTCCCCTCTTTCCTCCTCTCCTGCTTTTTCCTTTTCCCCTGCTTTCCCCTCTCCTGCTTTTTCTTGCCTTTGGTGCTTTCCCTGTCGTACTCCCGCCTTTTGTGATTTTTGTTCCCCTTATTCGTTCTCTGGGGCTTGTTCTTTCCGTCCTCTTCTGGTGTTCCTCGCGGCCCCCTTCCGTCCTTTCCCTCTTGCCCTCTTTTTCCTCCTCGCATCGTGCCGTGCGCCCTCGCTTCTTTCTTTTCGCCCTTCTTCCCCCCTTCCTTCTCCCCACTGTGCCTCTCCCCTTTGCTTTCCCTGGGCCTCCTTCCTCGCGCGCCGCTCCTTTTGCGCCCCCTCTTGTCCTCTTTCTTTCCTCCTCCTTTGCCGGTCCCTTCCTCCCTCGCTGCTTCCTTGCGTCCCCCCCCTCCCCCTTTCTCGGCCTCCCTTCCCTGCCCCCTCGGCCGCCTTGCGCCCCCCTCTCGTCCCCTGCCCCTATTTGCCTCTTCCCTGCCCCTTCCTCCTCCCCCCGCCCCTCGCAGCTCGCGCCCCCGTTCCTTCCACCGCTCCGCCCGGTCCTGCGTCGCCCCATCTTCGCAGCCTTCCTGCTTCTCCCCTCCCATCTCCCGGCTCCAGCCGCCTCCTCTGGCCGCGGCCTCCGTCTTCCGTGTTCCTTCTCATGCTCGCTCTTCGGCTCTCCCTCTTCCTGTCGCCCCGTTTCCTCACCTTCCGGCTTCTCTTCCGCCGCCCGGCTGGCCTTTTTGTCTACCGGCCCCCCGCCCACCGTGTGGCCCCCTCCCTGTCGCTGCCTCGGCTCCCCACCTCCCCGCCTCTCCCCCTTTCTTTCTTCTTGCTTGCCCTTTCTGGTGCTGCCCGCTCCCCGCTCTCTGTTTCCCCGCTTCCGTTCTGCCCCCCCCCTCTCCCTTGCCCCCCATCCTGCCTCTTCCCCCGTCTTTCGCCTTGGTCCCCGGGCGCCCCCTTTCCTCGTTCGTCGAGCGGCGGCCGGTGTTCCTCGCTGCTTTGGTCGTCGCTTCCCGCGTCGCCCTGGCGGCTGCTGGCTTTTTGCGCCGCTTTCCCGCTGGCCCCCTCTACGCCGCCCCTCTCTGGGCGGCTCAGCCCTGGCCCCCCCGGCCCTTCCCGCCCCTTCCCGGGGCCTCTTGGCCTCTCTCCTTGTCATGGTTGGCCCTCTTCTTCTGCCTCGCTGCGCTTTGTCCTTTTGCTGCTTGTCTTCTGCTTTGTGGGCCTTCCTCCCCCCCCGTTCTGGTCCTGCCCGCTTCTGGGCCCCCCCCCCCGCCTTTGCCTCTGCTCCCGCCCCGCTCCCGCCCCCCCCCGTCCGTTCGGCCCTTCCGCCTGCCCGACCCTCTCCCCTTCCTATCCTTTTTGTACGGCCCCTCCCCCCCTCCCACCCCTGGTGGGCCCGTATGTTTTCTCCTCTCCCCTCTCCCTGGCTCGCCTGTCCGGCGTCCGTCCTCTTTCCGGCCTATTGCCTTCTCCCTTTTTGTGCCCCGTTTTTCCCCCCTGCGCCCCTCCACCTGCTCCCCGCCGCCTCCGCCGCCCCGGCCGCCCCTTCCCCTCCTCGCCTGGTCCTCTGCGGCCTCGCTTACCTCTGCGGCCCCGTTCTCTCCCCTCCCCCCCTTCTCCGCCTGGCCCTGCCGTCCGCCCCTGCCCCCTCCTGCCCTCGGCCTACTCTTGTCTGCCCCCTCTTTTTCCGCTTTGCTTTGTCTCAGCTTCTCCTTGTCTGCCCTCTTTATCCCCTTTGCCGCCTCTGCCTTCCCCGCCTTTTTCTCGCTCCGGTCGCTCTCCCCCCCCCCGCGCCCTCCTCCCGCTAGCGCCCGTGCCGGGCCGCCGCGTTGCCCGTTGCGCTTCCCCCTGCCGTCGCCCGTCTGTCCCGTCCTCCGGCTCGCCTGGCTACCCGCATCCCTCTGTTGCTCTTGCCGCCCCCTGCCCTTGTGCCGTCTCCCGCTCCGCCCCTCTCATTTCCCTGTTGTGCCCCTGGCCCTCTTGTCCACCCGGCCGCTCTGCCCTCGCACCCTCTCCTCTTGTCCGCCGACTCCTTTTTTCCTCGTTCGTTTTCTCCACGTCTCCGACGCCGGCTCCCCTGCTCGTCGTGTCAGCCTTTAGGGCGTCCCCCTCCTGTTTTCCTCCCTCGTCGTTCCCGGCCCGTCCCCCCCCCCCCTTTCCTCCCTTCGGTCTTCGGCCCCTGCTTGCCCCTGCGTATCCTTTTGGGCCGGCCGCTTCTGAGCCCCCCGTTCTCTCCCTTCTTCTGCTCACCTGGTCCTGGGCGTGTCCGGTCATTGCCTTGTGGCCTCTTTCTTCCCCCTGCTGCCTCAGCCGCCGCTTCCGCCTCCGTTGTGTTTCTCATTTGTCCCTGCTGGCCCCCTGCCTCCTGCCGTGCCCTTCCCCCTCCCCCGTCCCCCCTTTGCACTAGTCCCCTCGCCACCCCCCCCTCGGCTGGCTCCCTGCGCTCCGGACTGCCATGCCGCTCCCGCCCATTCGGCCCTCTGCCTGCTCCCCCCTCCCTTCTTCTTCTTTTTCCTTTTCTTTCCCCCGGCCGCCGCTGTCCCCTCGTCTTCTGTCTGCTCCTTTCTGTCCGTTTCTTTCCCCCCTCCCTCACCTGCCTTCACCCTCTCGCCCTCCTTCCCCTGTTCGGCCTCCGGTCCGCTTCCGTCCACGCACGCCCGTCGCCTCGTGCCCGCTCTCTGTCACTGGGTCGGGCCGCTGCTTGCTCCCGTTTCCCTCTCTTATTCCCCGCTGTTTCCGCTCCTCCTGGGCCCTCGCGTGCCCGTGTGTCTTTTTATTCACTTTCACTTTCCTCCCCCCCCCCCGCTTCCCCTTCCCCTCTCCCTCCCTCTTCCCCGTGCCTGAACCCTTGGCGCCGCTTCCACCTCTCCGCGTCTCCTGCTATCTCGCCGCGTGCATTTCCCCCGCGGCCCCCGTCCTCCCTGATCGGTCCCCGCCTGTTCCCTCCCCTGCCCTAGCTTCTGCCTTTCCCCCGGCCCCCTCCTTGTCCCCCCTGTGCCCCACTCTGGCGGCGTTTCTCTGGTCCTTCCCTCCTTCCGCCTCCCTTCTTCGCATTCTTGGCGTCCCTTTCGCCCTTCCCGCCCGGCCCCCCCCTGCTTTATCTGCGCTTCCCTTCTGCGGCCGACGTTACCGGGGTGGCGTCACCGCCTCTGCCTGCCCCTCGCTCCTGCCTGTCATGTGCCACCCTCCCTCGCCCTGCAGCCCTGGCCCCTCATCGGCCGGTCTTCCCTCCTGTTCCCG